GACATCGGTTTTTTTTAATGTTGAATTTCGTACAGTGGTTTTTGAGGGATCTAACAGGAATGGTTGGTGGCATTTTATTCACATTTTATCAGGTTTGTGTGTATATGGTGATGTCTAGTGTATAACTTTGAGCTAAATCTCACCTCTTTAAAAATGCTTTTGGACTTAGTTAGATGCAATTTAACTTGATTTATGGTCAAGGCTACCTGTTTGTCGCATTAGTATTGGTTGTCTATTGAGTTTGAGTCTGGTGAGTTAGCATTAGCCATTAGGTAAACCTCATATTAAGACCATCTTAACAAAAATATTTAGCATCTCTGTGTTTTTAGGGTTCAAATTTGGACAGCAATGCCAAAATGTGGCGGCTGGTTGCTGATCTTATGAATGACCTCGGTTGGTTCTTTAACATTCTTTCTAATATTGGGACTGGAAAATACATTAATAAGACTATGCCATCTCTCTAACCCTCAACTGTGTCTGTCTTAATTCTCATAGGAATGTTGATGGACCTCCTCTCTCCATTAATTCCATCTGCTTTTTTGTTCATTCTTTGTTTGGGAAGCTTATCAAGATCATTCAGTAAGTTCTTACACAATCTCCTTCCAATTTGTCCATGGACTTGGTAGGTGATATACCCGATTTCTCATTTCCATGTCTCTAGAGCTATGTTTGCTAGCCCTTTGGGATAATTTCTGAGCAGTACGGAGCATATGATTTCCTGAATTTCGTACAAGTAATCTTTAGAGAAATAGTGTTGGATGTGAAAACCATCCATATCTATATATTTCACACCATCATCATTACCTTAATGTGAATTACATTTGGGTCGTGGAAATAAAATTTAAGGAGTCGCTTATATAACAACAACATCCAAGCCTTAATCCCAAAAGAATTTGGGGTCGGCTAACATGAATCGATCTATGTTATCGGTGCCAAACAGAGAAGACGGACAAGAAAGGGAAGAAAAAAAGTAAGATAAAATGAATAAAATAAAGATAAATGAATATAAGATAACAATAACACAAGAATATAAGAAAGATAAAAGAAAAAAAAATAAAAGAGCATAAAAAAGCTAGAAGATAAAAATAACATAAGAATGTAAAAAGATAAAGAAGATAAACGATAAAAGAAAAAAAAGAGGAAAGGTAGAAAAGACATCAATCGTCCACACAGATGTGCACCCTACACTTTGCTCTCTCCAAAGGCATACTCTCATCCAACCCAAGAAGATGCATATCAGTTCTAATTCCTCTAATCCAAGGAGTCGCTTAATTTCTTAAAATTAGTTAACCCTATAAAAAGGAATAATGAGATGAAATCCCCAAAAGAATGTCTATGGAATATATCAAGGCAGTTGTTATAGTCAAGCTGCACTGCAAAAATGATAAAATCAACTTGCACACATCATGGAACATGACTATATCTGTCTCTTTCACACGCTGTTCTTATTTAGCTGGTGTTGCTAGTGGTGCCACAAGAGCAGCTTTGACACAACATTTTGCCCTTCAAGACAATGCAGCTGACATATCCGCAAAGGTACATAGACTTCCACTAAAATCACAGAGTTTTCGTTCTGGATAATTGCAACACGCATCATTACAGTTTTCTCCTTCCTTGATTAACATATAGGAAGGCAGCCAAGAGACTGTTGCTACAATGATTGGGATGGCATTGGGAATATTACTTGCTCGCATCACTACGGGGCACTCAATTGCCATATGGACCGTGTTCTTATCTCTTACTGTTTTCCATATGTATGGTCAGTTTTATTCATTGCTTTCTTCTATACCTTTCCTCCTAGGTCATAGCCCTTGTATTGCTCAATCTTCTGCATCTAAGCTGTCCTTGTTAATTTTGATGTTTGTAGCAAATTATAAGGCTGTTTGTTGTCTTTCACTGACCACTATGAACTGTGAAAGAACCTCCATTCTTCTGTTACACTTCTTTGAGACAGGCCAAGGTGATTCCACAACCTTCTTCATCTTTCAACTAAAGACATTAAATTTAATTTTTTGTACCTGAAGTGTCAAGTCATCTCACATCAGAAAATATAAAATACAAACATACAATACACTGTATTACTTAATCCTATTAGGTTAACTTTCTATGATGGATGTTAAGTTGTGAATGGATCCTGGAGAATGAGAATATCTGCGAAGTCACATACAAGGAGAAGAGTCATATCATTTATTTCCTATCAAAAGATGCATAGGAACCATTCCATGCCAATGTAGTTTTTCAAATCCAAACTGAGTGAGTTACTTATGTTTTATTGCCAGTTAGCTCTCCAAACCAGGTCTCCTCCATGGAGAATATTCTGCCATTATGGATGACATCGTGGAGCCCTAGAAGTATTACTCCGTTACACAAGAAAGTTTTCTTAGGTGTAAGAATTACTTCACTGAAATGTAAAGAAATGTAAGTTCAGTTTGCTGTTCCCAAATTGCTGGTGCATATCATATTCTTAATTTTCAGCGCAGATTGCATAGCTCCCCCCATGTAAATTTATTCCACATAAAAACAATCTAAACCGCAGGTTCTCAGTGTGTGTTTTTTCCCATGATGTACAGGGAGGACCTCTTGAAATCTGCTGGATCTCATTACAAAAAAGGTTTTCTCTGCTGCATTTAACTTTGTATAGTAAATATACTCTATGTTTTAGTTGCTCCATATTCCTCTCAGGGAAGCTTATCAATACTTTTTCCACTTTCCATTTTTTCAACTACTCATTTTCATTTTCATTTACCCCAGTGCCGCAAAGGCTCCCACCTACGGTGGGGTAAGGGGGGGTCGGATGTACGCAGCCTTACCCCTGTACTAAAGCACAAAGAGACTGTTTCCGGATGACCCATAGTGAAATCGCGTCCAAAATTGCATGGACCGACTGCTGCTCCATAACAAAGAAGCGCAGACAGTTTAGTGAGCCATTTTTTCAACTACTATCATATCAAAAATTACAAACATCTAATCAATCCTTAAGTTGCTTCCAAATCTTATTTATCCTTCTTTTTCTACTTCTTCATGTTTGTTCTACATTTTAACTTTTTATACACAATTCAACACCCCTACTAACTCCGCCATGATATCTTTTTTTGGTATCATGCCTGTCCCAAGTCAGGATAAAGGAGGAGGGTGCTGTGGTAGGCGTGTGACGGCCAACAGTATCACCTAGTCACATCACATGACATGAATCGAAATATCATGTATCGATTCATGTTAGCCGACCCCAATATCTTTTGGGACTAAGGCTTGGATGTTGTTGTTGTTGATTCAACACCCCTACTGTTTTACTCTTAGATTTCGTGAAAAGCCTATGAGAGCAGCTAAAAAGTGAAGAATATATCACCTGAATTAACTGCTTAATAATCTCTTTCGGATGGTTTATCTAGCTAAGTATTTACTGCTGGAGAAAAATGGATTCATCAGCGTTGTTGTGCATAGAGATTCAACACCGGCAGATATCTTGCGTTCATTCATACATGCTCTTGTCATGTCAAAACTTGCTGCTGGGGGTAAGCCATCTGTGCATGTGGAGAGCGAATTGTGGATCGAAAAGCACTATGAGACCTTCATCCTAAAGGTTTTCTTCTACCTTGGACGCTCTATACTTGTTTTCTTGAAGTTGACAAGATGGAATTTCTGTGTGCTGTAGGACTATGTTTTACACATTTCCCCTTCCAAACTAGTGAAATAACAATACATGTTTATGTCTGTGGCATGCATAACTGAAGAGATATTCGGGAGCTGCAAAGTATGTTGCTAGGAGCTGAAAATTGAAAGTTCTAATCGGTGTTAGGAGTGTTTGGTAAAAATGCATAAAATGACATTCCTTACTGATTATAAGATATAAGTGGACAAAGGGTGCTATTTCTGTTAAAGAATCATGTTATTAGTAGAAATAAATAAAAAGCTAGGACACTATTTTTGAGTTACGATATTGGATAGCTTTTTGAATAAAAACTTATCCTAGGCTCTTACTTTATGTATTACACAACAGGGCTGGGGTAGTTTATTTGGAGCTTAAAATAAGTTATAAACCCCAAAATAACTACACACACTTGCTCTTTCAACTTACAGTCCACACGTCTTTTGTTTTACTATGGCAGCTTCATTCATCAGGATGGAAAACAGAACGCCTTTTATCTCCTTCAATCATTTGGAGAGCAAAATGGTTATTGGAGCCCTGTGAAGATAAAGCCGACTAAGAATATTCATGTCGAGCCTGAAAGTTTCCAGTTCCGTTAAACAAGATAAATGGCAAAGTAAAAGTTTGAGTTTTTAACTTCCTGACAAACACTCTTGCAAGCTCTTGCAACATTGGAGCTGGGAAAAATGTGTTATTGGCAATCTGCTATTTATTCTTATAACTGCTTCTCGGTAGCCACTTCTTCACCTCACTTTCCACAATTACACACGAGGGTATAAAACAATCAAGAGAATGTGAAAAGCTTTACCAGCTAATGAGCTGGCATAGAAGTTTCCCTGTAACAATTCTTTTTAGATCCTAGCACATCTCTCCTCAAGGGAATTTTTGTTTTTGCTTAGAGCTTTGCGTTAATGCACTACTGAAGAATAACATTGTTGAATGCCTTCAAACATACCTTGGAAGTTTGTAATGCCTTGATACTTCAAATTTTGTGAAACTATGACATGTCGAAGGGAAGAAACCTTTCGGATTTGTAATGCCTTGATACTTCAAATTTTGTGAAGCTATGAAACATTGAAGCGATAAAACCATTTGTTCTAGAAATTGGCCAAATACCTGAAATTGTCATTCAACATAAACTCATAAAACGTCCCATACTCTTGTGTGCCCACTAAACTAACTAAAGCAAGTCAATGATGACTTAAACTTTGGAAGGATTCCTCATTGACTTTGATAGGGGTGGACATGAGTGAGTTCTGATTCGATTCAAATCCTAAGGGGTGACTGGAATCGATGATGCATATTTGGTTCTGTAAGGCAGAACCAACCGGTTCAGGTTTGTTCCTATCCAAAATTGTAGTTAAAGTAAAATTAATATAATTGTAAGCCAGTGGTACTATTTTGGTTCCATTTTGGAACTACATTTTGACCTGGTAATACAACTCAAACATGAATGCAAATATGCAATCATGTACATAAAGAAAGTTGAAACTTGAAAGTGATGATAAGACTAATTACAACAACAAAGAACTGCATTTTGAATCCAAAAACTTGATGCTAAACATAACAAAGTTACAAATTTATGGTGTTGTTTGCCGTTGCAATTAAGTCTTGTTACTCCTTCAACTTCATATATAATCACATTTGTTTTTTAGGCACCTGCACTCACATGTCCAAACCAATCTTGATATTTTTTTAAAGTTCGGGTCAGTTGAGGTTTTTGGTAAAACATTGAGTGTCATTGTTTGGCATTTGGACCAAGAAATTTGAAGGCTTCTCTTGATAGCCCACGGTTTCTCTGCCTGTGCTTTGCCTAGCAATTAGGCCTTGAGTCTTCTGCCAGCTCTTAGAGTTTTTTAGAACACTACTAAACAGTATAATTAATGGCAATTGCAAAGATTTTGTGAGATTCATAAGGTAAGTGCATGAAGAAAATTTGCGGGTTCTAAATGGCTGAAAAGGCTATCCAAGACCAAATACACAATTTGAGAGTCAACATGCGATTGGTCAAAAGCAATGAACTCATGGACAGTGCCTTCCAGTTCAAACCAACTACATCCCTTGCTCTTCTCAACCCCATTCTCTCTCATCATTCTCCGTACTTGACCCATTGCTTTCCAGTTCCCAGACATTGAATGCAAATTTGCCAAAAGTGTGTACCTGCCACTATGATGAGGTTGTAAGCTAATTAGCATATTCCCTACCCATTCCCCTAACTCATACTGCTTGTGAATCAAGCATGCACCAAACAGAGCACCCCACACACCCGGGGTGGGCTCCATCGGCATCCCTTCAATCAACTTGACTGCTTCATCAAGCCTTCCAGCCCGACCCAATAGATCAACCATGCAACCATAATGGTCCACAGTTGGTTTTATTCCACACACACTCTCCATCACTCCAAACAGTTTCTTCCCCTCATCAACAAGTCCTCCATGGGAGCAAGCACTGAGAACTCCCATGAATGTCACCCCATTTGGCTTTACCCCTTCGGTTAACATTTCTCCGAAGAGATCTAAGCATTTTCTAACTTCACCATGCATTGCCAAACCGTTGAGGATGACTGTCCATGCATAAACATCTTTATTAAATGGCATCTTCTTGAAAAGTAAGAGTGCTCCATGGATGCATCCACATTTTGCGTACAGATCAACCAAAGCAGTTGCAAGAGCCGGATTTAAAGCCAAACCTTTTGACTCGATATACTTCTGGACCCACCTGCCATGATCAAGAGCACCTAGTTTAGTACAAGCGGCTAGAACACTTGTTAATGTGGCTTCGTTAGGCTCTAATCCACTTGCCAGCATGGATTCAAAAGTGGCCAGTGCATTCTTGAATTGCTCACAGTTAATAAATCCAGATATCATCACTGTCCAGGAAACTATGTTCTTGTTCGGCATCTCTGAAAAGACTAAACTTGCATCACTGCACAATCCGCATTTGGAATACATATCCACAAGAGAACTCCCGATGAAGATATCTTGATGGACTCTACCCGGAATTATATAGAACCCGTGAAGCCACTTCCCGAACCAAGAACATCTTGACAACCCCACTGCACAAAGAGCACTGACTATGGTGCCCTCATCCACCTTCACACCCGCTCCTCTCATATGTAGAAAGAGCTCCAGAGCTTCGGATGGCCTACCATTCCTCATGTACCCATCAATCAACGCAGTATAAGAAATCACATCCCTTTGAGGCATTTCAACAAACACCTTGCATGAATAGTCAATGTACCCACAAACGGCTAGAGAAGAAACCAAAGAGTTCTGCACAAAATGGTCAGTATCGAACCCAAATTTCACAGTTTGGGCAAAAACCTGGAGTGGGTTTTCTGCTCTGGCCTTGGAAAATGCCTTGAGAAGCAGAGGGAAGGTGTGTTTGTTAGGAAAGGCGAGGCTTTCCCGCATTTTCGCGAAGAGAAGAATGGAGTCGTGAGGGTTTGAGGTGGTGGAATAGCCTTTGATCATGGCATTCCAGGAATGGGCATTGGGTTCTTTGATTCCAGTGAAGATGGAAAGAGCGTAGGAAGAGGGGAATGAAGGGAGCGATACGCATTGGTCGAGTAGTTGCCTGAGAAAGGAATTGTGGTGGCAGAGACCAAATGTGATCAGCAGAGAATGAATCTGCTTGAGATGAATCAAGCTCCATTTTTTCTGGGGTGATAAGAAATATTTCAGTGTCTCAGGCAAGCTGGAAATGGGCGCTAGCATCAGATTTTAAGAGCAACCCAAGATGAGAAGAAGAATATTTTATCTTCTAATTTTACAAATCACATTAATATTCTTTCACTTGAGCGCATAAAATTTAGAATCCAGAACATCATGCCAAAAACAGGTATATCAGGTGAATCCCGAAACTATAAGATATTTTCCCAATATATAGTTGTCCAATGAGGTGTAGGGAATTTCCACTTCTTTTCTTGGAAGTTGCCAAGAGGCTTTTGAGAATGTTTTTCATGATATTAAGAAGCTGGAAGAGGAGGTTTTACATGCTGAAATTCTATTTCAAGCTGACCCTTCTATGGAGCACAGAGAAGACGGATCTTACAAACAAGCCCTACTCATTTCTAAACACAAACAGGAGAGACTCTTTTGAAAACAGGAGGCGCATATTAAGTGGTTGAAAGAAGGGGATGCTAATACTAAATTTTATCACTCATTTGTTAATATTAGAAGGAGAAAACAACAAATATTGTCGATTAAAGATTCTGCAGGAAATGCTCTTACTGAACCTGAATACCTGATGACATTGGAAATGCTGCAGAGTGCTATTTCTCTACTATTTTTATGAGATATATGTTCATGATGTGGAGGAGATACTGCAATACATTCCAAAGTTAGAACAAGATGGTGATAACAACATGCTTATGCAGCTGCCTACTTTTGATGAAACCAAAAAAACAATCTGAGACTTGAATAAAAATGGGGCTCCTCATCGTCATGATTATAATGGAGTGTTCTTTAGAAAGTGCTGGAATATTGTGGGTTGGGACGTGGTTAGAGTTGTTCAAGATTTCGTTTTAGGAAATCATATTCCTAAAGCTATGGTCAGTTCTCTGGTTGTGCTCATTCCTAAAAAGGAAAGGCCCTTCACCTTTGCTGATTTCGGGCCAATTATTTTGTCCAATTTTATAAGTAAGGTTTGTACTAAGATCATGGCAGATACAATAAGTCTTATTTTACCTAGACTTAATTATGTTGAACAAGCAGGTTTCACACAAGGGAGGGATATTTCTGAACATGTTCTTGTGTCCCAAGAAATGATTAATTCTATTGACAAGAAAATAAGGGTACAAACTTAATTTGGTGGTGAAACTTAATATAGCCAAAGCCTTTGATGCGGATGAGATAGTGCAATACATTCCAAAGTTAGTACAAGATGGTGATAACAACATGCTTATGTAGCTGCCTACTTTTGATGAAACCAAAAAAGCAATCTTGGATTTAAATAAAAATGGGGCTCCTCGTCGTCATGATTATAATGGAGTGTTCTTTAGAGTGCTGGAATATCGTGGGTTGGGACTTGGTTAGAGTTGTTCAAGATTCATGTTGCTAGAGAAATAAAAAGAAAGAACGTGAGGCTACAGGGATAGAGTTAGGCGAGAGGAAAAGATAGTGGAAAGAGGATAGTTGTTATTTAAGATAATATAAAGAAGGGTATAATTGTAAACATAATGAACATGTATCGGCTGAACAACTCACTTAGCTCCTATTTAGGGAATATATCAATTAGAACTCCTATTTTGGAACTGATAGAGTATATATCTAGAGAGAAGTGAGAGCTAGAGAGAGAAGTGCATGCAATGCTTCAATAGAATGTTTTTGTAACCCCCATAACTACCTCCAGAGGAAGTATTTATAGGAAAAATACGGGCTGGGCTCCCAAGCCTTGGGCTTGGGAGGCCCATTTACAACTGGACCGCTATTGGGCCGAATACAGAGCCACTGGTGGGCTATATAAATGAATAAGTGTAAAATCCGGTTCTGTTAGACTTCCGTGGTCGACGAGGGTCTTGGCCGACGAGGGCACGGCCGATGAGGGCACGGCCGACGAGGACACCCTGGTTTCTTGGCTTCAGGATCATATTCTGAGTTGGTCTTTCTTCTGGCCGACGAGGGTCTCTGGCCGACGAGGGCACCGCGTAGTGGCTGTGCTTTCTGTTCTGAGTATGTGGGTCCTGGGGCCTAGACCCATATACTCCATCAGGAGTCCCCCACTCTCTAAGCTGAGATGTAGGTGAAGTGAGGGAGAGTAGATCTCTGTACTTGATGCTTCTTGGCCGATGCGGGACCACGTTGGCTGTTCCCTGTCGCGGCGTTTGGTGGCCCTGTTCTGAGTTCGGCCGTTGCCTGTCCCCTGATGCGGATGGGGAAGGCTATTGTTCCTTTGTTGCGCTTTGTTTGTTGGACGATGAGTGTTCTGGCACGAGTGGCCGATGAAGGTAGTGCCTATCCTTGGTTATTGACTGGGTAAGTTTCCCTTTTGGGCTGGTGAGGTCGTAGGGGCCGATGAGGGCACTGCGCATTCCTTTGGCCGTTGTTGATGATGCCCTGTGTTTTTGGACGACCAGGCGTCGTATTGCCCAAGGTTTTGGGGATGACAACACTGTCTGGCCGAAGATGGAGTTGTGAGGGCCTCGGGGCCGTTGCGGTACATGGACGACAGTGATTTAGGTATGTTAACCTTTCTCTTGATTTCCTGGCTTGAGAGTGATGGGTGGTTTCAAGGCCGATAAGTGTCCTGTGATCCCAAGCTTTGCTGTGGCCGAAGGTGCACCATGATGTTATGGACGTTGTGGTGCATGTCTGATGTTATAGTTGTGGACTTGGTGTATTTTTGGATTTCTTTTGATTTTGCCTGTTATTCTTGAGGCCGGTGTAGTCCCCCAGTCCCCCACTTCTTCAGGCCGAAGAGTGAGTGAGGGGTGAAGGAGTAGATTAAACCCGGGCCGAAGTGGGCTCCTCATACTGCCCTTGGATCCAACCCTTTGGCGATTTCCTGACCAAGGTAACCCTGTGGGAGAACCCTTGGATGCAGGTCGCTTTCAAAGGGTTATCATCAAGGGTTTAGTGCGAGGGCCTCATGGCCGTTACGTTCCTTTCCTTTGGGGTATTGTGGCCGTTGTGAAGCCCTTGCATAATGTGTGACCCTTGGAATGGCCGATACGAATGCTACCTAGGTACCCGTAGACTGTGTTGGTCGTTGAATTCCCTGGCCGTTGTGGGTGTTATTTTTCCCTTCTTGATCCGTAAGGCCTGTTTCGGTGGTGGGCTGCTGATTTGTAGACAGAGTGGTGGCATCCCATTGGTGGCCATTGGTGTGGCCACTGAGGTGATGCCACGTGTAGTTACCGTTGGGAGTGTGGCTATAAATACCCTCCCCGTTCCGAGGAGAGGGCCTCATTTGCATTCTGAGTAACGAAGTGCTGCCCAAAATTTTTAGAGAGAGAGAGACCTTGCTGAGTGTTCTTCACCCCCTTCAAAACTTCAAGGTTAGTTCTTCAATCCGTTATTCTGTTTCTTACATATTTTTCTCTTCCAGGCCTTGATCCAGTGTCAGTCACAAAACACCTTAGATCTAAAATAGTTTCCCTTAGTGCCTTAGGAGTTGTTTAGGATGAAATCCTTAAACGAGGAATATTACCCGTACGACGACGAGCCCTCCGCCAAGTCTCTTGACTATGCTGTGATCGAAGAGTGCGCCGAAGAGATCGAGCACCTGAGCCCGTACAAATCCGGGGAACATGCGGACGAGGAGGACGAGGACGAAAGGTCCGCTTCGTCATCTGAGGGTGAGGACGTAAGGGCCTCCCGTGTAGTGGACGGGGCGTCCGCCTCTACTACTATCCTGTGCCCGAAGCCGGTATCTGCCGTGAAGGGGCTGCCACGGCCGAAGAGGAACAGGCGGCCGAAGAATGGGCCAGGCTTCTCTTACCTGGACCTTACCAACATTTTCCTTATCAAGCCGGAGAGCAGTGCCGCTGATTATCTAGTCGCACAGATTTACGTGGGGCCGTTTGGGAGGGTCAGGGCGCCTAGGCTGACAGACCACGTGCTCAACCCGCCGCCGGGGTACTTCGGGGTATATCCGATGAGCTTTGCCAAGGGGCTGAGGTTTCCCCTCCATCCCTTCATTCAGGAGTACTTGGACATGGTGGGGCTTCCGCCGGCCTTGCTGACCCCTAACAGTTACTCGCTGATGGTGGGCTTCCTTCTCCATTGTGCGGAGTTGGGTTACAGGCCGACAACGGCCCTCTTCATGAATCTCTACCAGATTGGCCGAGGAAGCCACAAGAATTGCGCCTGCTACGCCACTTTGCAGCAGCTGCCGAATAAGAGGACGTTCACGGATTTGCCTTCGTCCATACATGGTTGGAAGAGCAAATTTGTCTTTGTGTCCCTGGGCGAAGGTGGCACGGAGTTCCCCTCCGTCGGCCATGATGGAATGTTTACCCTTCATGACCCTCCCAAGAGTTCGATCCTCGATGCTCAGGTGGCGGCCTTCTTGGAGGGGGGGCCGAGGAGTGTGAAGGACTACATCACGGAGTACAAGATGACCGCTATCGTCTTCTTCAGGTACTTCGTGTATGGTGACAAGGAAGACGACGTCCAAATATGGCCGAAGATGACCACGACCTTCGAGGAGGCCGACGGCCCCGATATGGGCATTCCTGCCGAAGCTGATGGTAATACCCCCTTCGGCGTCCTCATTTTACTTTGTCATTTTAATTTGCTGACTTGTTTGCTTGTTGTGCAGACTTTGTGATGGATCGCCGATCCGTGATGAACAAGGCCGCTGCGAAGGCCAAGGCGGAGCTGGCCGCCAAGGAAGCTGCAGCGAAGGCCGCTGCCGGTGGTGATGCTACAAAGAGGCCCCCTCCCCAACCGAAGAAAAAACGGCCGGTGGAGGAGACGCAGAGGAAGCTGACTGAGGCCGGCATGCAGCCCGCCAAGAAATCGAAGAAGGCTTCCTCTTCTGCCGTTGCCGATGAGGCCGGCGTACTAGCCGTCCCAACTGTGGACGAAGGAGGGTCCAGCGCTGCGGCTGCCCTTATGGACCTGACATCTGGTCTTTCCGGGGAGGGTTCTCAACCCCTCTCCCTTGCTGATGGCTCCCGGCCGAAGCGGTCGGGCAAGGAGGTGGCGACGGCCACATACAAGATGGAGGTTGAATACCCCAAAGACGGGGGGGGGGGGGGGGGTTCAATGATGGCGTTGACGGCCACATTGTCCTCTCTCAGGCCATCCCGGCCAAGGACCGGGTATATCTTGACAAGTTAGGAGATGTCAAGATATACGATGGTGGTATGGACCTTGTCGTCCAGGTAATCCCTTTCTTCCTTGGCCTTTGCTCTTTTTTTCCTTTGATATTTTTGCATTTTTTCCTGATAACCTTTTCCATTGCAGGGTGCCTTTATGCTCATGGAGAGCCATAAGAGGCAGCAGCATGAGATTGCCCGTTTGAAGGAGTTTGAAGAGAAGGCAGCCTCGGCCGATGAGGCCATGAGCTGTTTGGGGAGGCTGCGGGCAGATTTTGCGGCCTTGCAGAGGAAAGCTGATGTGGCCGATGCGGCCAGGGAAGAGGCACTGGCCAAGCTAGCCGATGAGAAGAGTGCCCGTGAGGCTGAACGTCTGCGGGCGGATGAGGCCGAGAGGGCCAAGGCTGAGGCTGCGGCAGTAAAGGCTGCCGATGATGCTGTTGCGAAGTTCCTGGCCGAAGGCTGGAGGGCCGACGAACGCCTCCCTTGGTGCTATGAGGTCGTGGCGGCCAAGCTTGAAGATTGGGGGCAGAACTCCCCTGCCGGCCAAGAATATTTTGAACGGGAGATGTCCGTGTACTACAACATGGGCCAGCATCAGATGCAGAGGCTCATCTATCGGCGGCTGAGTCGCGCTCTCAGGACCCTGAACTATACCCGGGGTTGGGTCAGGCGGAATCTGTGGCTTCCTCGGCTGATGAGAGATCCGGAGGAGCAGGTCAACCTTCCTCTGTGCGACAGGCAAGCTCCGATAGAGAGTTCCGGCCTGGGTGAACCAGAGTACGAAGAGGACGATTACTTGGATGACACCGCCACTTCCGCCGTCGAGGCCGGCCTGGATGCTGAGGTCGGGGTTGGTGCTGAGCTTGTTGCCGATGAGGACGTTGCGGGCCCTGCTGTCGACGAGGCCGCTACAGAGCCATGATCGTCCACAACTGTTTTCAACTTTGTAATTGGCCCTTTGTTTTATAATTTTGACTGTAACGGTCGAAGTGCCCACCATGTACTGGTTTGTGTGAAATGAAAACATCTTCACGTCCCTTACTGTCTTTGTCGTCTTATTCCCTGTTTGGTTCCTCTGTTGTTTTTCTTTTCAAA